ATAAGTACTAGATTAAATGATGCAGAGTTTTGTGGTATTTTATTGGTAGCATGGTTGTCACTGAATTAGTACTAGATTAAATATTGCAGACTTACTAAAGTAGATATATGAAGAATCAAATAAAACTCACACTGACACAAGTCACACATAGCTATTGGAAGTACTAAAAGCAAGGTACCAACTCCAAATGCTTAGGTAAACTACCCCACCACTGTTTTAAAATGTATGTAAGATGTAGATCATTCAACATTCATTGACACAAAAATTTAAACATTTGTAGTATTTAATTGATTAATATTGAGTCTTTTTCTTTTCTCTCATCTGCATTACATTAGTCCGTGTAAGTTATTATATATAAAGTTTGACCATGAATGGCGAGGGCAAAACAAAATGATATGCATCAGAGTCCAATAATGTTTGAACGAAATTCTCTCCATGAGATCCGGTCATGGCATGCCAAGTTTTGATAAATTTTTAACATTAACATAACCACTAATCAACAATCTTTAAAGTACCTGTGAAATGGCTGCCATTTTCACGCCTAAAATTATCCATTGATACATAAATATTATTAATTTTTATGTTTCTAAGCATGAATTTTTTTTTTTAAGTGAAAAAATGTGTTTTAAGCTCAGTCTATGGCAACTTTATTTTTGTGTATTTTAAAACGAGGCTCCTCATTAGCTTCTCATTTGCATACAGAAATTCCCCTTGTGACGTCAGTCGCATGGCAGCTTGCATTGCCAATACATGTAAATAAGGCAAATTTCTTGTACAGTTTTCTCATCTTTGACTAAATTGTCACTTATGTACTTGTTCGTCGAGGAAGAATGGACCATAATGAACACATAGTATCAATTTTTGTTGCATTGGGTTGAGTTAGATGCGAAATATGTCTGTTCTGGTGTAGCTGGTCACCATGATCGTCACCGACACCGGTGCACGTTTGTACACTGTCGCTGGACAAAATAGAATTTGAAAGTGTTGCGCCAGGTTTACGTCGTTGGCGTTTCTCTTTAAACCTAGTTTTTTTTTTCATGGACGAGGACAGTTTTTCCAAAATAAAAAGAATCTGAGGTTAAGTGGCTTTTGTCCACTGATGTCGCACCTTCGGATCGATTAGAAACGTGTGAATACATACACTATGCTTATACGTTTCACTGCAACTGCCCGCAACACAACATCTAAAAACTCTCTCAAAAAAAAAATAAAATAGATCGAAAAATGTATATCGTTTAAAAGTATACTGAATGACCAGTGTTATTACGGCTCAGGGGTATGACTTCCTCTCACATTTTGTCATTTGGTGTCGCACTTTCGGCGAGAGTCGGAAATCCGAAAAACAGTCGAGCATTTCAGGATAGGTGGGCGTGGCTACTACACGAGAAATATACCAAATTTACTTGGATACGAGTAATCATTTTCAGCAAAAAAAATCAATAACTGCCCATTTCAGTGGGACACAGATCTAAAATGGGAAACGTGAGGGTGGGCACTGCACAGGCACTTTAATGTGCAACATATGTACATACAATGTTTCCATATAGTCCATCCATATATGACAGATCTCGATCCAATATAACAGAAATGCTTGATTTTAAGAACAAAAATGGCTGCTATTCGGCCATCTTGAAATAGGTCATGAAATGATTGGTTGGATTTATGATATGAGTGAAGTTTGAACTTAGTCAGCCCAGGCATTTTTCTTAAATTTGGAGAAAAATGAAAACAAATTTGTAACCATTGCACTCAATGACAAAATGAATAAGAATACTAGTAGTTCAAATCAGGTTGACTTTGCGTCAAGGTAAAATGAATGACACTAAGGCATGCTACCAGTGTGATATAAAAGACCCAAATACAAAGTGAAACAAAATGTGTTATGATCACAAAATGCAACACAAGCATATATATTCCTAGAATGCAAATTATCAAGCATGTGAAACTACTGATTTAATTTTGTTGTTCGTTTTTTTTTATATCTACTTATTACTATTACTATTATGTCAAATGTACCAATTGGTGATTCCAAAAAAATTATCCAATCCAAATAAAAAGACCTATTTAAAGGAGAAGACACAGCAACAAACATTATGTTCCTAGATGATAGAGTCCACAAATGCAAGAGAATGCAATTTATAGTTTTTTATATCACTATTCAAAACAGTATTTATCTTGATTTTCTAGCAAAGGATTATGGGCAAGTATGACATAATTAAGAAAATCATTTCATCTGTAGCTTGAGAAATACTGATATTTATTAGTTCAAATTTTCAGAGTGCTGATTACTTGTGTTTTTAATTATAATATCAGAAAATTGCAAAGACACAAAAAGATACTGCCAAAAAGTTAAAAATAAATGGTTATTTCAATTATGAAAATAAAACAATACTTTTTTTACCCCTTTTTTGCAGCCAACAGGTTATATATAAGCTACTTGCATCAATAAATTATATAAAATATACAAAGAATTGAGCATTTGGTGAAATAAAATATTTTCGTTTAGCCATGACAACATGTCTGGTTGGCATCAATATGGCTTCTAAACTTTCAACCAATTTAAAGTTATAGTTATAGATGAAATCAATTACTCAATTTTTTTACAACAGTGGCTATGATGTCTCCCTAACCAGGAAAGTATTTCTGGAGAAAAAAAAAATTTAATATCTGGAGAAAAAAATGATATAAAAATATAAATTACATTCTTCTATATTTGTCCCTTGGATGTAAAAAACACAGGTTTGACTATATCAAGAGGTTCCTACCTGTGGGAATGTAATTGGCGCTGATTTCCTTTCCCTGAGCTTTTCAATTGTTTCTTTATCATCTCTCATGTCAAGCTTTGTGCCAACCAATATGATTGGAGTGTTCGGACAATGATGACTAACTTCTGGATACCACTGAAAGAAACAACACCATAGGCAGACAAGTTAGACAAGCGTTCAATGCAGATTCCATGTAGTCCAAATAACTTGTTGGTTTTATGTTCCACCTACCTCTACTTTATTACACCTACACCTGTTATTGACATGTATACAGTTCTACATTGTGTACATGTTCAGAAACACCTGCCACAATGTCATTATCTTATAGTATAAATTGGCATAAAACATTTTCTCAATAAAATAAATTCATGAATAGACAATATTGCACATTGTTCTTAAGTATCCCAATATTCATGACTGTTTTTGCAGCCACCTGAAAATGTCATACATTTCCAACCTGACATTTATATCACCAATTTTTTTAATTCAGGCAAGTCTTCGGTGTAAAGCATCAAGTCCAAACAAAAGAAGACAGCTGGGAGCAAGTTAAGAAATAATCAACTATACAGTCATTGCTGTTTTTAAATAAATAAAACATTTAAAGTCTTATTTATGTTTTCCAATAAGTTTAGTGTTTTAACAATAGAGAAATAATATGAAAAAAATAAAATAATGTTAATGAGGAGTTTTTATATTGTATTATGCCATCAGATAGTGAAAATTAGAGTTATACAGTTTAGTTGATGAAGTAGTAATGCCACTGCTCCAACAGTCTGGCTAACAACTGTCTAAAAACCACCAACAAATATTGATTCGTAGCATGCAATTTGTGTCTACAATCAAGTTAACTTATCAGAGGTACTAAGATAAGTCACACTGAATTAATATGGCATATACAGTTGAGAGAATATTAATAAACTCTTGCTTCCTAGGTACTAGGTGTAAAACTTACCTTTGCTCTAACATTTTCATAAGATGCTGGACTTATCAATGAAAAACAAATAAGGAAGACATCCTGCAAGAAATAAAATGTGTATTTCAGATATAGAACCAAGCTGACCTGTTAACACAGTATGCTGTACATGTATTCGCTTTATGCTAATGTCAATAACAAAAGGCTTTTTATATGGCCAAAGTAAGTACATGGTTTATGTGCACTTCTATTGATGTGTTTCTAATTGAGCAAATATGGGACTGTAAATTGCAGTAATTTAAGGTGTATGTTTGGGTATCTTCAATATATAACACACATAATTACTACAACAGGCCAAAATAAAAATGTTTAAATAACTTTTAAAACAAAAACAATTAGATGAAAAGAGCTGCAACTTAAAGGCAACTAAGATGAACAGTGAAATGACATCACTTAATTTATAGATATAGGAAACTAAAATTGCTTATCCATGATAAAAACATTTATAGGAGATGCTCCCTTGAATAACAAGGACATCAATAAAACAGAAAAATCAATGAAATAGCAACCATACTGAATTCCGATACTCAATAGACAAATAAAATAGCATTGGAGTACAGCAACCAGAAACAATATGCAAACATATATAGTACAAGTAATACTGCAATCTATAGAATATATATCAGGATATACACTATGCTGGGTTTTTACTAACATTTCAACGGTCACCAGCGGCAAATTTCATTCAGTTTTGATTACAATATATTGTATGATTTCAAATCATGAATTATTTCATTAAAATGGTCATTATTTTACAGTATGTCATCATCTTCAGCAATTTTCCTTAAACATCAAGAAAAACCTATTGTTTTAATTGAATACAACATATGTATTATAATAGCATGTTTCAATTTTCTCCACACATTTGATATATTCATGCATACAAGTTTGAAATTGGCTAATAAAAACAATGTAGTATTAGCCAATATGACAAGACTATTCCCTTGCGCAAACCTTACTATGAGAGTTTATGCTATGTCATGTACAGGTTACCCATCTTGTTATAATTTCATTTCCTACGTTACCCATAATGCAATGTTCACAGATACATATGGTTCTTTGAAATGTGACTCATGCATGTGTATGCTTGCATGTCATTGAACCTTGCACAAGGACTTGTGTAACAATTATTTCATGATATGACAGTTCATGTTGGGCAATAGTAAACTAAACTAATATTTGTAATCAGCCAAAGCAAGCCAGAGATATGGCTCTGGAACGACATTCAATATCTGATACAAAATGGCCACCAGACAGCCATTTTAATTCTGATATGAACAACAAATTAATGCGCATCCATGGTCCCATTATGTTCAATGTAATCTGCTCAAGCACAAAATGAACCAAACAAACACATGTGAACATGCTATTTGTGCATTTTTAATTTGATCTGTAAAATATAATCTGTTCATACATCAGGTTTTAGAATGACACAAATGCTTGATTATGATTATTTTTCAGCACTAAAATGGCTGACACTCGGCCATAATGCATTCGGCCACATAATAGATATGGGTCTAAAGTTTTTATTTTTAAAATTACCAAACACCATGGAATGAAATAAATAATTATTGCAATCAAAAACATTCATTCATTGTCAGACTTTAATCATACCACCATTCATGTGTGATGAAAGGACACCCTCTATGTTGTAATTCTCTATGTTGTAATTCTCTATGTTGTACTTCTCTATGTTGTACTTCTATGTAACCATATGTTATATTTCAGTGAATATATTCTTAGTATATTATTGCTATTTGAAATGCATAAAATGTACATTTTTGGTAGAACCTCAGCCCAGCAATAAGGCTTCTTTACACGAATGGCAAAACATTTAGCATAATTAGCTGAACTCTGAGTTTATTATATAACATAAGCTGATCAATGAAATAGTATATGATCCAAAATAACACAGTTGTGTGTTTGACATATCAGACAGTTTTATGGGACTAGGATTTTGAGTTACAGCCAAAAGATCACAGACATCACCATGACTTTGAAAGACTATTCCCACATGTAACTACACTGTATGAGGCACATAGAGACTGAGACCATGTTTCAAAGGTTATTATTTTGCAAAGTAACAAAAAAAAATTGAAAAACAGAATGAAAGATCAGCAAGAAACTGCCAATTCTTAACCTAATTTTCCTATAGCTTTTAGAAAACATATATATGATCATGGGCTTTGTAAATGGTTGAGAATGCCTCATCTCAAATAGACTTGTTTGTTTTTTTGTTTTTCCACCACCTACCTTCCTTCCCTACCAATTCAAAGTTTTCAGAAACATACTATTTTATTCAGCCTTATAACATTAAATATATATAGGTCGCAAGTTACATGATTAGTCATATGATATTGCAAGTCACATGACATGTGACACCCACACACAAGATTCCCAGAAATTAGTGATTATCCCATTCCTTTATTAATTTGATACTATTGTGGTTGACAAAACTGATAATGCAAAGAGTTTGTGCATAAGTAACAACTATACACATGTTTATTGCTTTCTATATGTTATAAACTCTGCACTCACAAACCATTGCTGATTAAATTGCACAACTTCAATCACTGCACCCTGACCCAAGTTCTACTAAACTAATTAGAGTTTAGAAACATGACACTAAAGTCTTAAAAACTGAAGAAGTCTTTCTCCAAGCTTGCCCAACAATTTACTTCAATTTCAATATGGCAGACTCACTATTGCAAAAGTCGACATTAGTGACTACACTTTCTTCTATGCTATCGATAAAGAGCCATTGCTCGAAACGTCTAGTTATTTTTAATAGTTATTTAGGACTACGATTACCAAATATTATCTTCTATATATTAGTGACATCCCAAATGCATTCTTACCACCCATATTTGAACAATCACACACAGTGTCATATTGGATGAGAAGAAGGATCTATGGCAACATAATGTGCACACAGAACACATTATCACATCTAGACCCTTTATAAAATCCAATATCATGATGTGGAGGATTCATTATCATTGTTTTAAATCACCACGATCAGAATTAAACAAATTTAGTTAAATATGGGGGCCTTTTTAAAAAAAAGAAAAGAATTTACTTGCGAACATTGTTGTGTGATTATGTATAACTGTGACATCATAGAAACCTCTAATTCTGATAGTGGTGATTTGTAATTGCCTTGTGATAATTCCCCTTTTAATCTCCTTGGCAACCAGTATCAATACCATATTTGGAATACTGACTTTGAAAAAAACCATGGCCATAATTATGTATTTAATTGCAGATGAAAGGATTACCAATGTACAATTTTGAAGAACTTGACAATTTATCAAAAATGGGACCCTTTCTTGTATTTAAAATGCTCAAAATTACTCAAACAATTAGGACCCTAGAAGCAGAATTTGGGCTTAAACACAATTCAAGGAAGACTAAAATGTACTCTTAGTTCTGTCTCAAATCTGTCATTAAAAAGCAATCTATAAATGAAAAACAATGCACGTTTTCAAATTACTAAAGCCTAGAGCAATGAATTGAAAACTTTAATACTGCCACGCTATATCTTTTATCAGTACCATGCTGTGACAGACCAACAGACAGCTTACATCAATGTTTTCATTTGAAATACACCAAACATCAAATGTTGTTTTATTCTCAGTAAAAACAACTTTAACTTGTGAATGCAACATGAAAGGATAGAGGTTAAAGTGCAAAGTTGAAACTGCCTGATTGAAAATGAACAAAGATCAGAGGTTGAGAGTTTCTGTTATAAACTTATAAACCGATACCCCTACATCTTCAACGGGAAATATTCACACATAAACAAGAATTTCAATTCCACTTTACAAGAGAGAAAATTAATTGGAATATTGTTGTTACACATTCCTTCACACATCAGTTACTTAAACATAATAAACATAGAAATAATATTCACAATAAATGAATAAAAACATTACTGTTGTACTTACAGTCTGTGGGTAGGAAAGTGGTCTAAGTCTGTCATAATCTTCTTGTCCAGCTGTGTCCCATAGTCCAAGATTTATTGGTTTGCCATCAACCATAACATTAGCTGAATAATTGTCAAATCTGATGATGAAAAAATGTACATTTCAGAATTGGCAAGATAAATATTATAAACGATTCTACTGTTAATTAAAATATAACTGTAATACTAACTTCTGAATTGCAAAAAAGAAATACCGTTTTGCTGGTTACCCTCTATTCAATGAAGACTGAACCCGCTGCTTAGATCTTAGATAGTAGATAAACGCGATGTTAATTAATGATACATGTAATCAGAATATACTAAATTTCTAAACAATGGACAACAGTTTTCCTCACATGCAATAATATAACAGTTTCCATAGCAACAGAAGTACAGTGTCGTTCTTCATGACAAAATTTTACATGTTTAATGAGTAAAATCTTAACAAGTCAAAAACTTGGGAACTATCCAGTTCTAGTAGAACAGTAGTCGGGTAACCAGGCTATTATGAATACATGTAACATACACAGGTAGTTGTATAGATCGTATGGTAAAATGGAATATTTGTATTGCCAGTAATGCAAAGCTGATTAACATAGATACATGTACTACTGTCACACACAAATAGACCAGACAGGCAACAATAAAGTCAAGGTTTATTGAATACTAATAGGTTAAATATGTTTTCATTCGGTTAAATTTTATTTAAACAATTTTTTTTTGTCTACATGTCTTATTCAGAATCAAGCTATTATGGTCCAGAGTGTTTTCCCATTCAAGTACTGTCTTATAGGTGGACAACATTTAAAATATCAGACAACAAGCAAGATCATCATGTATGCCAGCAAGTAAGAATTACACTTAGAGCAATTTTTATTATCTGCACACAGGGGACACACCCACTTTGTCATTCAGAGGTCTTGTGAGAACATTCACCCTCACTTCCACTGTAATATATCTGAACTGACCTCCATATCGCATACACCCTACATACAAGTACCAACCTATTTGTACAGTGCCATAGAATAAATTAATGATTCATTTCAGTTAGCTTTTACCAAAATATGCATGATAATTGAGGTAAAGAGCTGAATAACTATACAATATATCAATAAGCCTGTTCTAGTTGGGTGTGGTCAATGCATGTGTCAGCATGACCTCCAGACATGTATTATAAACACTACAGCATATGAAGCAGGAAACCAATCAGTCTTGATTGGAACAATAAATTAATACTGTACATGCACCCCAAAGTACATTATGTATAGCCGACATGATATGTTTGGGAAGTTCAGACTAAACAAGAAAGGTATACTTGTGATGCCAGTGATATTATCAAACATGATAACTTTGGCCCACACACCAATAATATGTTGACAGACTTTGGCCAGGTGATTTCTATTGACAGATACATAATATAATAGATATATGATGAGCATTAGAAAATTCAAATGCTTATGTAAAAGGTATAACTATGGTCTGTTAATAACATGCCACATATGACATGTAATATGATTGAAGTAAGGCCTATAACAGCTGTTAGTTGCAGTATTACTGACTGACACATATGACATGTAGTATGATTGAAGTAAGGCATATAACAGCTGTTAGTTGCAGTATTACTGACTGACACATATGACATGTAGTATGATTGAAGTAAGGCATATAACAGCTGTTAGTTGCAGTATTACTGACTGACACATGTGACATGCAGTATGATTGAAGTAAGGCATATAACAGCTGTTAGTTGCAGTATTACTGACTGACACATGACATGCAGTATGATTGAAGTAAGGCCTATAACAGCTGTTAATTGCAGTATTACTGACTGACACATGACATGTAGTATGATTGAAGTAAGGCATATAACAGCTGTTAGT